AATTTCGGCTTTTTGACTATGTTTTTCAACATTTTGTCGTACGAAATTAACGCAACGCCAGAAAGGAACTGCCCATATGGAAAGTAAAGGCACATGTGTGTATATATAATAATCGTGTTTATTCACTTTTTGTTCTTTGTTATTTGTCTTTGTTTTTTGTTTCTAACCCAAAAGTAGCTTTACAGGATTTGTCCACCTTCTTCCATCTGCTGTTTCTCAGCGATCGTGCTGCAGGGCTATAGTATAGTACCCTCATGGCGAACGATTCATATAATTATGGCTTCGCTGCGTGAGATCGTCGACCGCTATCCTGTTGATTGGGGCATTGGCGTACTCCAGTTGTGCCTGTGGTCAATGCAGACGACAAGGTATTTTGAGCTGATTTTTTCGGAACGGAACTTACGAACGACTAGTCTACCTTCTTGGTGCTAATTAGCCAAGACTAGCTCGCTGGCTTGATCAACCGCAGCGTTGCAGTTTGCTTCTCCGGTCCGTATTTCTTCGCTATCGTCACCTGAGTGAAATCTTCAGCGAAGCCCACGAGTTTTTACAAGAACCTATTCTAAACGAAGATTTTCCATGTAGAAAACCAAATTGTACATATGTATGTAATACATACCATGTACATAAATTTGTAAGGAAAATACACCATATTTGGAGGTATTTTAGTTCTAGCTTGACGGTTAAGTGTATTGACACATCGCCGCTTTTGGATTAGATAAAAGAGACTCGGATCTCAAAAAAAAAAAAAAAGATAACACGATTTTCGTATTCCACATTTTCGAATATACATACATATGTACATCGGCACTTTTACGCAGCTTTTCCGATCATAACCTTTATTTAAAAAAACTTAAGCAAAACTGCGAACAAAATTATGTTTTTAAATTTTTATTTGTTACTTACTTACTATTTTACTATAAAACTAAACTAACGCGATATCTCTCACCTGGACTGCGCTAAAATTCTCCAGGCTTTATAATTTTCGTGGATATTTCTTTTTGCTTTCAGCAAAAAACCGATGACGAAACGATGCAAAATAGCAAACCAAAAAAATTATTTAACTTTGTCATAAAAGCTCATTCCACCCGCAGGCAGAGTGGTGGAACGTGTGGAGGGTTATCTAAGATCGCACTCGTTGGGTCAGTCGCACGTCGTCCAATTCTGCTGGGGAAAAAAATGCGTGGCACGTCCGCTCCTCTGACGTCTTCGCTGTAAGGGAGCTAGGCCAGCACCAGTGCCATCTCTTTCGCTCACCAACTCAATCCCTCCCCTACTCCTTTCCTACCTAGATGGCCGTCAGAATTGTGTTGTTCGGTTACAATTTAATTTCCGCTGGCAGGCAACGGACTGTGCTTAAAGCTTCGTCTTACAGGCCAACACACATCACGAAATTACCATTTTTGGATTCGAATTAATTCTCTGCTTGCCTTTCGAAGCATATAATTGTACATACATATGTATGTACATATGTATGTACATATATGTATGTATATTCAGAATCTGATTCGGATTCTGAATGCGAGGAGGGTGATTCATAAAGAGTGTGTTACTAGACAGTTACAGTCATCAGTCATAAGCATAAAACACAAGGTGGCTGAACAGTTAAAGTGCACTCCGTACTACTTTTAACAAGCAAGCAGTTTAGTTAGCCTTTCAAGTATCTGACACATGTCGCAGTGCCCGCAAGCAGTGCGATAGGCATGAAAAGGCCCCACCACAACCCAACCGCAACGTATTTTGTTTTGCACAGTGATAATACAAACGAGCGGGAATGTTGAGAGCCACGGCAAGGGAGGCTCTACCTTTATACCCGATTCTTGTAACAATGTGATGTCACATGAGTATGGAAACAAAATTTGGTTGCTTTAGCTTGTATGTTTCCTGATATCTAGACGATCATCGGGATACTGATTAAGAATATACTATATACATTATGGGGTCGGAAACGCTTCCTTCTGCCTGTTATACAAATACACATCCCCCGCAATACTCTTTGAGTATCGGGAATAAAAAGCCAATAAACAACTCCTAACAGAGGGCTGCGAGCAACGTCATGGGGCGTGGGAGCAGTGGATGAGGAAGGCTTAGGCCGGGCAGCGGTGATTTAAAACAAAAGCGCTGGACACAGGAAGATTCATTCATACTCAAGCCCGAGTACGAGCTGTTAGAACACTCAACTCAAGCGATCTCCACCAGCAGAGCGTGAGAACAGAGACAAAGAGAAACAAGAGAGAGAGAGAGAGGTCGCAGCGTAACGCAGCAGACACACCGTCAAGAACGAGTCAAAAAGCTTTAGACCCAGCAGCTGGAGCTTCATTCTCGAGTTGCGGTTCAACGGTTTAGCACACGCACAACACGCAAGAAGCCGACAGCATTAGCAGTAAACCTGAAATACAGTAAACATCGTGTTCGTTATATAAAGATCGTTCAAGCAGTCCAAGCAGTTGAGTGGAGCCAGCTCAATTTTGTAGTCCCAATAAAGTGTATTTCCTGCCGCGAATTATGCCTTCGGCCACATTTGTCCTTGAACATTTAATGGCGGCACAAACACGTCTGGACGAGGACCACAGAGAAACATCAGCAGCTCCCACATCCGCATCCGCATCCACCTTTACAGCACTAGTAACTCCATCAACGAGCAAAGTCGATTCATATAAAAAGAAATTATTGTTGTCTTTGAAGAAAATTGTGCAATAAAACAGAATATACGAATACATGCACTGTTCAACCATAATCAAACTGAATAATATAAATAATAAAAAAGTTAAACAAACCGAAAACAAAAAACAAACATGAGCAAGAACAAGAATTCTAGTTTACAAATAGATGTTTAAAAAACCCCCAACAACAACAGCAAAGACACTCGACGCTTTATTACAAGGTGTAACTTTTTAAGGCCTGTTTAAATATTGCAATATCGTTGTTTTTTCCTGTGTACATTGTTTTTTTTAGTTTGTGTAGGGAAAGTGCTCGGGTCCCAAAGACGCGGCAAGATGCTGTTCAACAAATGTCTGGAAAAGCTGTCCAGCTCACTGGGAAATGTTGTTAACCAAAAATTACAAGAAAAACAAGTCTACAGCCATAATAATAATAATAGTTTGAATAATAATAACAATAAAAAAAGAAACTTTGAATACGAGCGGGCTATTCAGGCGCATTACGGAAGTGCTGGAGGATGCGGTGACGGAGATAGGAACAGGGAGAGGGTCAGAGATAGACATAAGTCGAAGTCAGGCAAATGCCAAAAGTCCAAGGCAACCACAGCACCAGTATCTGCAACTGTACCTGCACCTGCACCAGCACCAGCACCAGCAACAACAACCACAGCAAGCACTATAATGGGGAGTCGCGACTGCATGAGCCATGATGAGCTGGCCCTGATCATCAAGGGCAATAACAACAAATACCACCAGCTAAATAGACGCCGACCGGTCTCGGCACAGGGCTCATCCGCGCCCTCCGCTTCCACATCAACCGAATCACTCAACCGACTGACCCCACCAAATGCGGTGGCCTCATACCCCGCCACACCCACCTCCTGGTCGACCACACCCCCCGAGTTTCCGGCGGGCTTCGGCAGCGGGACTTGCTCCGCCAGCACCCTAGCGCTGCTGGCCAACATGCGCGTCCAGCTTTATGGACATACGTAAGTGCGGAAAAAAGGCCTGTGAAACGCGATTAACTTATTTGAGGCGCGTGCGAAAGTGAATTTCAATAGGGGTGGGAGGAGCTGAGAGATACAAATTTTCAGTTACCACTTAGAAATGTGTAAAGCATGAAAGAATAAAAGCCGTCGCAATCGTGTTCAAACGAAAAAGAAAGGAGAAAATAACGAAGCAGCGCAAGGCGAAGGATACCATGATTTTAAGTCAAAGAAGTCAATTAGATCTGAGAATATGAATAGTGTTGGATAAGAAAATGTGACATTCCCTCATCTCAATCATCTGTGGAGTGTGAGCGGAGTACCAAACGGGTCGAGACTCTTAGGGCAATATCCCCTCATTAGCATTAACCCTAATAAGGCAGCCTATCACATACAGTATACTCCACACCAAAAAGCAAAACAAAAACCTAAAAACTCATAAACATCACAACGCAAATTGTCATGTGCTCAAAATTTCAGCGCAAATCGAGTAAATATTTACACACAACATTCAACAACAAAAACAACATAAATCGCAGAGAGGGAAAAGTAGTCAATTTACAATCTAATAAGTATGACCATGTGCTCACCGTAGAGAGGGGGAAATGGGAATACGTGACAGAGCTATGTCTATTCTTACAGAAATTGAATATGACAACATTTTGTGCTTACTGGGTTTCTATTTATTCTTTTATTTAGAGTTTCGCATTGGATTGTGTGAGACATTGGCTTCAAAAATAAATCAGAGAGATTAAGGTTAATGAACAAGAATGATCGGTGGAACTTTGTTGGAGAGACATCTCTTATCTGCAACCATCCAAATGTTTGGGTTGTGTCAGTAATCCGTCCCAGATTCCCATCCGTTTGGATATGTTGTTGAAGTTATTTAACAAGATTTGATTTTCCTTCCGAAAACATCTCCTTCCCACCTTAACAAACTCTTTCGTTACTTTCGTTTGCTTATCTATATGTTATCTACATGTTATCCCCCTTTATCTCTTTTTTATTTTATACCAATTCTTAGAATTGGTCCAAGTCTGAGATGGTTTGTGCCGCCTCCTGTTTTGCATTTTTCCGTTTTTCCATTGCCCAATAAACATACATACATATGTATGTATGTTACTATACATAGTTTAGTTTGTCAAAATGATTTCGTGGGGTTGAATAGTTGGGATCACTAGAAAATGGTCTGTAAGGGCCTATAGAGAAAAAAAGGCACAGGAAGCGCTCCCAACCTGAATAAGATCGCTGACTGCAGCTTCTATTTCTACTCCATGAACTTCTTGCGAGTTGGTTAGGGTACAAGTACATATGTACATATGTGCAAACAGTTAACTTCCAGTATAAGGCGCGCGCAGACTACTTTACCCGGAGCATTTAGAACAGTTTTCGGCTATAGTGTGTGCGCGCGCCCCCTTGAGTCAGTGTCACTGTCAGATCTGATTAAATGAAGGCAAGCCGGCTTCAGCTCGACTTCAGTCTCTTGTTGCCGCTCCCAGCAACCCGTTTCTCTGATGCCTTTTGAGGTGCGTTGGCACACAAAAAAAACAAACCTGTGACAAAAGTCATGAAATTATATAATAAGCACAATATTCATACTAAGATTCCCAATTTACATACATATGTACATATGAATGTGTGTATATGTTTTCTTTATGTACTTATTCATGTGTATAGTAAATAAATTATATCTGTTTGTTGACCTTAGGCGGCGCATTCATGAATGGACCGCAGCTTCCTTCGTATGTATTGTTGTCGTTGTCGCTACTTATGTCACTGTAAGTGATGCAAAAAGTTGTGAAACTCACTGACGTTCTTGAAGATATACATACATACATACATACATATGTAAGTGTGTACATTTATACATACTACTCGTATGGAGCTGGGCATTTCTGTCGGCTGTCATTTACTCAGTCACCAGGTAGTCGGTTCGATTTAAATCAAGTTGAGGGCCGTTAATATATGTAAGTATTTTTTGTGTGTTATTGTCACAATGCTAAAAGTAAAGATCAACAGAAATATGGGCGGAGAAAGATGCGCAGATTAAAAAAGGATCAGATCAATCCAGAGCTAATCATTGAAAATAAAAGCGTTGGGCCATCCATTGCACATTGGGCCAGACAGCCTAAATTTATAAATAAATTCAAAAAAGTTAGAGACTTGAAACTAGGTACATTTCATTGTAACGATATATGTATGTATGCATATAAAAACTGAGATACTGTACCGTCCTGCCTTTCATACATAAACTCGTAATTAATCGAACATCTGACTTTGATGGGCTGCAAAAGTTTCAAGTGCACCATTAACATTTTTTGTGTTGTAATATTTTAATAATCCTGCGTAAAAATATAAAGAGTTGTTTAGTTAAATGTGGTATTGTTTCGCTCTGATTTTAATGCTATTGTTGGCAGGTGTTTTATTTATAACCTAACTTCAAAATAGTTATCTTTGTTGGAGCAAGAAGTAATAAGATTGTTCAAACTACTTATGTAGTAGTGTGTGTTATTGTGTACGTATTCATAAAAAAGAACTACCTCAACAAAAAACGAGAAGGAACGTGTGAGTCGCTTCTGGGGACGCTACTCTACTTATACCCGTACTCAGTCAGTACATATACATTTTTGAGCTTAAGCTTTTTTAGAATTTTAGAACTAAAAAAAAAATTTACATTTCAAATTTTGTTTGCTAAATCTGTTATCTACATCTACATCTACTATGTATATTATACATCTAAAATGTAGATTCTACATTTAACATTCAGATTCTACATCTCCTCCCCTAGAGGGCTCTCGCGTACATAACGAGGCAGAGTGTGCGAGCGAGAAATAGAATGAGTAGCGGGTCTCTGGCTGAAGGAGGCGGGGGAATCAACTTTCTTCATTCTGGCTATAATTATGATCCGATCAGATTCACATTCGGCCATCTGGTAGATATGTTCATTCTCTACGATACTGCGATTCTTTAGTTTTCTGGTATCTTCGAAATTGTGGCTACCACAGATTTTTGTCCTTTGTGGTGGCGGAAGGAAGGGGGACGAAATTTTGAAATACACTTGTAGCAGTGTCTGGAAACAAAATTTGGTTTCTCTAGCTTTTATAGTCTCTTTGATCTAGCCGCTTATCAGACGGACGGACGGACAGACGGACATGGCTATATCGACTCGGCTTTTGATGATGATCAATAATATATATACTTTATGGGGTCGGAATGGTCTCCTTCTCTGCGTTACTTTTACCACAAACTATATTGTGTTTAAATCTTTTTGAGTACGGGTATAAAAACGGCATTTGTGCCGCACTGCGCACTGTAGCCTAGCCGAAAGCGGAGCCGAATCCTTTTCTAAAAGCTCTGAAAATGAACAAACACACTTCACGGGTTCAAGTGCGCACACTGCTAGCTTCGCTATGCTGACAACTTTGTGGAACATACATATGTACATATGTACATATATGTATATGTATGCTAATGTTAAATGATCGAGAAGAATACGCATTTCATGAATACTCGAGATGTTCGTTTGGCAAGAATACATACATACATACATACATACATACATACATACATATGTAAGTATGTTCATATGTACATTACCTTAGGCCCTATGGATGCAATCAAATGAAACACATGGAACTTCAAGCTGGATATAATATTGACCATTTTGAGGGACAGAATGTAACATAAAATTTCAGGTTGGCTGAACCTAAGCCAGTTGAAGCAGCTGCGTCTACTAGTATGCTCGGGTCGGATCCATTGCGGTTCATGTTTCTACCATTGCGAGAGTCGATTTTCCAAGCAGGACATGAAAACTTTGTACTGCTCTAAATTGACTTAAACTTCCGTTTTGTTAAAAATAAACGACTTTTCATTCGTATCATTCAAACCCACCGCTCAAGATCCGACCGGATCTCCGGACCCAGACCGAGCGTTCGTTTGCTGTTGGAGGCCACCTTGAATCTGTAACAGGCTGACAAAACAGAGCGAGATAGGGAGACAGAGAAACAGCATTGAAATGCACGGCAGTGTATGATACGCTCGAATGTAATTTTAACTGTTGCTACATGAATTTCTATTAATAGTACAAAGCCAAACACACACACACACACACACACAGACACACGGAAGATGAATTGATTTAGCAAGCAATAGCAATTAATATATCTAGAGGGGCGGGGGAGGTACATACATATGTATGTATGTATGAAAATGTGTATATGTACATACATATATACATATGTACAGTATGTATTTATACCGGCGACGCTCAACTTAGCACTTCTATGTTGCCGTATACATAATACATGAGCAGTTATCTCCCTCGCTCACTCGATGACATATTTTATTGTATCTATGACCCCAAATTGGAACCGGCTTAAGGACAGCCGATTGATGTCTGTACATCCGTTTATATATGTAGATTTACATGTATGTACATACATACATACATATGTATGTAGCTACATATCTGGCTCCCTCTCTGTTCGTTTGTTTGCCCGAATGTGGCTCAAAGGCGTCGAACTCGAGAACAGAGCTAAGACAGAGCAGAGCGTAAGCTAGCACATGGTCGATTATGAAATTCAAAGCATGTTTTTTAAGTCAGTGTTATTTATGCAGAATACCAGAAGGCGATGCCAAAACAAAACCACACCAATCAACTAGAGCAGCACGTCCTTGCTCCCATCGCTCTGAGTTTTATTCTTCGACAACTGGCGCCAGCCTGACTTACAAGCAATCCCAAAAGCACAATGTAATTCTGCCACCCTCAAAAACTGCCTAAAAATATATACATATGTACATACATACTTACACACATACATAACGAGGGGGAACGTTGTGAGTCGCTTCTGTGGCAGCGCCTCTACTTTTATACCCGTACTCAGTCAGTGTACTTACATATGCATATGTATGTCTGTAATGTTAGGATTTAGGTAGAATTTTAAAATATTTTATCAGCATACAAATTTTTGTTACATCTGTCATATACAGCTACTTCACTTCTCACACCAAGACGCCGTTCTAACTCGTTTTCCGCCAGAGGTCGCACACTGAACGAGCCAAGGCACAGTGTGAGAGCGAGAAAGAGGTGAGGTTAGCAACTGAAATTCAATTTCTTCATTCTGGCTATAATAATGATGCGATCTAAACCAGATTCGGCACTCTGATAGATGTTCTTCCTTCTCTACGATACTGCGTTTTTCGGTTTCTCGTATCTTAAAAATTGTGGACGTAAAAGATTTGTATCCTTTGTTGTGGCGGAAGGGGGCGGGCGAAATTTTGACATACACTTGTAAAAGTGTGGTACTACATGAGTCTGGAAACAAGATTTAGTTGCTCTAGCTCATATAGTCTCTGAGAACTAGGCGCTCATCAGGACGGACGGACAGACAGACGGACATGACTACATCTACTCGGCTATTCATGTTGCGTGAGTGTGGCGCTGTGCGACCAAGACTCGCGACTCCAGACCATAGCGTGGTCCGAGAAAGTAAAAACAACATACATCACGCGTGCTTGACGAGCCTGTTCGCAGATAGACTCGAGTTTCGCTGATAAGGTTTGTTCCGTTGTTGTTTGACTTCTGCGAAACTTAAAAAGGCTGCATACCGCTCAACTAGAGAAAATTATTCAACGCAAATAAAGAATAACCTGAAATGTAAGGGAAACCCTTGTTACATTCCTGTGTTCCTCTAGTCCTTCATTAATTATCCCATCCCGTCAAAACTAAACCGTGCCCACTGCTTGAACTTGCAAAGCAGTTCAACGAACAGTTCTTTGGGCAGCGCATTAGTTGCCCGCCTCTGTTGTGGATTCATTCAGCTTTTGATTTCTATGTCACATTCAAAGCGAACGCTTAATCACAAATTAACCCAATACCCAACACATCCCCCTCTGCCCATGCCCATGCACATGTCTACGTCTATGTAGATAAATAAGTACATATGTATGTATGTATATACATATGTCAGTGTCAGTCTATAAACACAAGCCAGACCTGGCCAGAGCGGGTCGACTTATAAGTCCAAGACTCAAATAGAAAAATTCAACTTGCACTTTTCCACGTAGTAGTGTATCCGTGTTGCTGCCACTTTCAATGTGGTTACTCGTACAATACCCTTTCAGTACCCTACCTATGTATGTATGTATGTATGTATGTTTTATGTATGTTTCAAATATGGAATCGGAAGCTAAAAAGCTAAATAAATATTCTTCATCAGCAGGAACAATCGAGTCAATTTCGAATTTCGTTTTACTGTCCGATTTTCTTCAAACTCGACTTATTCGTTTAATCCTGAAACCTTGGTCAGAACTTTATTTTTCCTGCCGCCATGACACTATGTATGTATGTATGTATGTATGTACATATAAATGTACATTTACGTATGTATGTTGAAGCCGCAATGATGGCTCCACTATTATTTGCATTAATTGATCGCACTCAATTAATTATAAAGAATAATCGTGTGAGAATATGTAGCTGCCATAGGATGGATCGCCTTAAAGGGTATCTAGATACATACATATGTACATCTGTACATCTGTGCATCTGTTATTGTTGCCATGCATTTGACTGTTTTCTTCGTGCTGCTGCTCGATTGTGTCTGTCGGCTTCGGTCGGAGTATGCTTGTGTTGGTATACGAGTACGCGTACGTACTCATGTACATACTTATAGTATGTATTTACTTATATTCGATTCGTATTTGCGCTGCCTGGTTTCTACTACGTAGCTATAGTTTCTGCTGCCGTTGGAGGTGTTAGTATTTTCTGCTTTTGCACGCTTCTTATAAAGGCGAGAGTATACATAGTTTGTAATTGCTTTTCGAGCGCGCACGTAGTCAATAGTCAGGCACTCAGTCACGCAGTCGAACAGTCAAACAATCAGTCGCTCAGTCAGTTAGTGGCTCAGTCGACTCGGTGCGGGGGATACGACAGTACACGGTAGAGCACCCGCATCTTAACCCTGCTTCTCCTTTTGCACAAATGATACTGATGCTGATGCTGATCCTGATACTTGTCAGTAATATAATCCTTGAATCTGTTGCTTGTTTGTCGTTTCAGGTGGTTTCATGGCAATCTTTCTGGCAAGGAAGCGGAAAAATTAATATTGGAGCGGGGCAAGAATGGTTCTTTTCTTGTCCGTGAATCTCAAAGCAAACCTGGTGATTTCGTTCTCTCCGTTCGAACGGACGACAAAGTGACGCATGTCATGATTCGATGGCAGGTATATACATATACATGCATACATACTATACACATTTAGTACATACATAAATACATACATATGTATGTACATGCATACATATATCCTCAAGAAGAGCAAAACGAAGTCGATTGCGAGTCGATAGAAAC